TGGCCAGCTGCGCTGGAGGTGAGCTAATTCATCGTCGGACGTGGCCGCGATTTACACTGGAAACTTGTTCCTTTGGCCGCCCACATATTTTTAGGATGAATTGAGGGGGCGCACGAGATCAGGAGAGAAAGTAAAAAAAAAAACCCAAAGTCTCGCACGCACCCCGCGAACACGTCTACACACACACGCACGCGTGCAACGCGCATGCTGCCGTAACACCCAAGATGGATTTGAAACTTCACCGGCTCAATGGCCGCACTGTTGCACGGGAGGGCAAAACAAAAAATTATTTCCAGACTCTAAGACAACTTAAAAATGGCAGCGGCTCCCCTAATTTATCATTATCTCAGGCATGCCATGCCAAAATGTGAGCACTCACGAGAAGGGTATGTTTTCATAAAGTCAAAAGCAATGGATGCAACGTGCAGATAGGCCCTTAATGCGGGGCTAATGAGAAGCGACACAATTGCGAACTTTGGCTGCCAAAGGAGCCCCAGAGAAAATCAAATTCCATCAGTTTTTGTTTCAGGAGGAGGAGGACTAACGGTTTAAAAATGTGGGCCGTATCGTGTGACGGCGGGACAAAAAAAAAAAAACGCGCCGCGCAAAACGCCCGGGACGTCAGCCGTGTGATGCTTAGCAGCTCGGCCGCCCATGCGCCCAAACGCCGAGCAGGGTTGTGCGGTCGTAAGGTGCGGTGGAGGAGGGGGGGGGGGGGCGCAGTGCGCCGTAGCGGTTTCTGCGAGACGCGCGGACCGCACTCGATAGCGGGCCCGGCAGGCCAGGTGCGGAACAAGCAAAAGAAATAATAATACGTACTTAGCTTTACTCCAGCGACGTGAATTTCGTGCCCCAAGTAACAATGGTAATGTAATGATTGAAATTCCTAATTCGAGATGCAAACATCGCGCCCGCTGGCTTCGGCATTCCTCCTCGTCAACCGCATCGGGACATCGCCATCAGCAAGCCGCAGCGGTGCGATTGTTGCCGTGCAACTCAAACTGTGGACCAGAGAGTAAACTCCTGTAGTCTGTGTTCCTTTAATGAGAGGAATAGCAAAACGGCAGGAACTCTTCTCCTCAAGCCTTCTTGTCGTGGCCAGCAGACCCCCGGCATTGGCATTCAGCTCCTGAACATATTGCCATCATGTGCAAGAACCGAATAGAATGGGGATCGATTCACGATTGATTTTTTTTTTTTTGGGTCAGATCGCCTAAATAAAATGTGGGTCGTAAAATGTTAAATTTACGAGGGTAATTATTTATACCGCAATTCCAATTGTATGGGGATACCACCATGGTCTAATGGTGAGCATGCTGGACTGGAAATCTAGAGTTTGCCGGTTCACCAATCTGAGTTCTAACCAGGCTCCAGCCTGCTTAGCTGCTGCAATCTAACAAGATTTGACCTACTGAGGGTGGAATCCCTGGCCCGAGCATCACAATAGGTTTGGCACGTCCGGTATATGGCATGTCGGTTCTTTAAAGGGTTCGTGTCCCGTGGCCCCATTCCCATTGAAACTCACAAAAAGAGAGAAATGTATTGTGCAATGTAAAGTGGCTTTGCCTGGACAGAGTTTAAATTGCATTGCTGCTGATGATAACGATCGCCAAAGTCTGGCTTGATCCTCATTAGTTCAGCTCCGTCAACCGAATATCATTAAGGGAATTACAGAATAATAACGCCTTCTGTACGAAGCACTGCGGCAATGCAACATTATTCATGAGTCGCGATGCTCATCTGATAAAAATACATTCTCCAAACCCACTGCTTACCGTTGCAGATACGATGCAATGTCGTATATCCAACCGTCTCATATCTGCCCTGACCGATCAACCTCCCGCATCCAAGTCCCGCGTTTGTGCGTGGAGTTATTTTTTCAAAGATATGCTCACACATCCGATCTTTTCACAAATACGACCTACACCTCAGTGCCAAGTGAGTCGGACGTGCGACAATGTACCGTCTTACAAGAAAAAAAATAGTAAGTAGTTTATTTCGCGTGAAGCTCAAATAATGCAGGTGCACGCGCTTTATCCGTTGATTTAAAAACCATATTTGTACGGGATCCGGTACACTGGCGATGCGTCGTGTTGCGGCAGCCACTGTGACAGTCAGCAAGGTTCGATTTGTCAAAAAAGAGCTCCTGGAAGAGACTTCTTGTAGACACGACGTTCAGACAGGGTGGTGGTGGTGGTGCAGCAGCGGTCACGCCCGTGCCTCACAGCTAGAAGTTCCTGGGTTTGATTCCAAACTGGGTTCAGTTTGATCTCTTTCTCCTATACTTTGCACTCCTGTCGTGATTTCATATTTTAGTTGGTGTAACTTTCCGACTCGCGCCTGCCTGACATCCGTGAAAAAAAGAGCTTTATAGCTCATCGGATTCCTCCAATATAAATACAGATTCTGATTCTGCGTAACATTCTCTCCCTGTTCTGCATGGGTTTCCTCCAGGTTCTCTGGCTTCTTCGCATAGCTAAACAAAAAAAAATACAACTGACGTTGGCCAAACATCCCAATGCTGAAAAAAATATCTGCAAATTACGCGACTGGGAGTGAACAAGGCAACATTGCCTCCGACTGCGACACCTTGTCAGGACCCTCCTGAAAAATTAGTCTTGAGACTCTGTGAAGCTTTCCTGGGCAAACAAGCGAAATCAAAACGATAAGGGCATCAAGAAACTTGGCTCGTGTCAAATAAGAGAAGGAAAATTTTTGCTCTTGGCTGTGTTTAACAAACACATGCTCGAGGTGTGCAAATTAAACGTACGCGGTAGCCATGGATTTGTGTCCAACAAACAGGGGTGGAATGACCCGTAAATTTAAATATATTAATATATTAATGTTTTTTCATTCATATGTGTGCGGCACAATTAGCTCGTATCACTCAAGCAGCTACACGGGAGGCAAATTACTTAGTTTCTGTAAGTGTAGTTTGAGACTTCAACCAGTGTTGAACTTCAGGGTGACCCGGCCCTATCAGTGGAACAAATCAATGTCCAGCCTCTAATGCTTTTGGGGCCCAACTTATGAAATTAATTTTTTTCTTCTAGTTCGCTCATAGAATCTACTATATTGCTACAAATATAATCTTTCTTAGCCCCGACAGAACATCATTAGAATTTAACAAATTATTTGGCGATGCTGTGTTGGGCAGCGGAACCTAATGTGTATATATTTATTATTTTAAGGCAGAAATGTTATTGACGATTGTGGAAATTGTTGTATCATTGAAATATAGATCAGTCAGTCGTGACTGTCTCTGTATGTTAGACGCACAAATATAAATATTTACAGATTCCAGATTAACAATTTTTATTGCAACAAGTTCCACATATTCAAATACTGTATGTATATAAAAACTGTATACGATTGCTACATTTGTATACATACATCTTTTTAAAACCTAGTGCACTCATGAACAGGATACAATGGTGTATGTTTGGTTATATTTATATTGAAGAAATTCAATAAGAGCAGAATGACCAAGCTAAACCTATGACCAAATCACCCTGAATGCACGCCCAAGTCTCATGAGATCTCAGAAGCTACCTTGTCAGCAGAGGGCAATTGAAGCCAAATCTATTGTTGTACTGCACTGCACTATGCTGCCCACATTTATCAAACCACTAAGCGCAGCAAAGGTGAAGTATGGTCAGGGGTCGGCAAACCAAAATAACGATAGCAGCCATATTTTTCGAATTCGGTAAAAAAACCCTCAATATTGCACGAGTCGGCAATGCAACGTGGTGAATACGAGACCGTGACCCTGAATTAAAGAACGTCACACAAATCGGTTCCTTAAAGAAGCCCCTTTGAGCGTGGTCAACCCGCGTCGGCGTTGGGAGGGCCCCCCTCATCCAGCAGGGGACTGACGACGGGGCGACGTAACGTGCGCGGACGCCGTTCAAAGGCAAACGCGAGCGGAACGCTGACAAGTCTCCCCACCCAGTCGCGGGCGGCCCCAAAAATCGGGACGCGACCGCGAGAACGAAACGCATCCGTCACGGAGATCGCGGGGGGCACGGACACCAGCCGCAGTTAGAGACGCACGGCGGTCATCGAATGACGAGTTCACCGGAGCTCGTTTGCGTAAAAAAAACGCGGCAATTTGGATTCAAGCGAAGTTCGTTATTTTTCTTTCTCCTGTGTTTAAATAACGCCAGTTTTACGTCTGAACAGATGCACTGCGTTTGCACCAACACGGCTGACTTGACGCACGCGCAAACGCAACGACGCGAGACTACGGACGCCGTGGGTAAAGCTTGGCCGGTGACGTGTGAGTACGTACGCATGTTGAACTCCTTGTCGCACCCTACGCGGCCAACCGTGCTAATGGGAGGCGCGGGGTGACGTGGGCCTCGAGCGGCGGTGCATTTGGCCGCTTGTTGCACAGATGTTCACGGTTCGAATCCAGTGGCCGTCCTGGTTTCTTACAGTGGGTGTATTCACCATAACATACCACAGAACCGTCTGCTTCGCAGCGGACAATGAACATCGTGCAGCATTTTCTAAACTATACGGTTTTTTTTCTATTTTACCAGGTAAGGCCCACTGAGCTATGTAGGCTTTCTTCAAAAGGGACCTGGCAGCTTACCACGTGCAAACTTATAGCAGCCAAATACTAGAAACGCGTGATGTTGATTCTAAATGTGGAGGGAAAAACCGGAGGAACTGGAGAAAAATCCACGCTACCATGGGGAGACACGCAAACTCCAAATGTACAGCAGGCGTCAGGATCGGGATCGAATCCACGACCTCCTGCATACCAGGCGAGGTAGTTAACATCTCGCCACCAGGTCGCCATTCGCAACAGCAGAGGCCATGTGTGTTGGCGTCATTTTACAAATGGTTTTCAAATTTGGAAAAACGACACCACAATTTAATCCTTATGGCGGTACCCCGGGGTACCGAATAATACAAAATGGCCGAGGCAATTAAATATTTTATTTCAGGGACACTATTTTTTCCAGGGGTGTTACTTAACTCCGCGACCGGGGTACCAATTAATCCGAAATCAGTGCTACTCTGCGATGTCGAAACACAGCGAGGACGATTGCGCTGTGACACTGAACGCTCGTGTGCACCAGTTGAGCAGCACTTTCGATGAGCTCGAGGACTTCAAAAATACTTTGGAATCCAACTTCATCGCGACTAGCCGGGAGAAGCACTCCCTCGCGTCCATGTCGAGCGCGTCGGCATCAGCGGCGGGAGCGGCATCCTCTGCGGCAGGTGGCTCTTCGTCGGTGGCAGACTCGTCACCTTCGGCGGCAGAAGCGGCGACATTCGTGACGGGCGCGTCATCGGCTTCCGGGACGGTGCCCTCGCGATTGTCCACGATATCGAGCGTCGAAAGTGTTCGTCGGATGGGCGGTGTCGGTGGTTCGCAGCGGACCGTGCCCCGTCGCGTTGCTCGTGAACGGTGCGATCGCAAGATGACGGCGTTGCAGCGTGCGATCGCCAAGCCTGGGTCAAGAAGACATTAGCAATGTTCAGAACGATTGGGCGTCGATGGAAAACATCCAGAACGGATCGGAATAGCAGCAGTCTGAGGGGACCATTATTAGCGCGATCCAGTCGGGGCTATCGGAAATTGAGATTCGTTCGATCGTCCCTGTCGGCGGTTCCAAAGTCGCGCGTCTACGCAAGGTCCTCACAGATGGAATCGACACTATGGATACGCGACGCGCTCCGGCGGTCCCACATCACGCGCTTGCCGATGCTGATCTCGACGGCATCAAACGGGACTCCGAAACATGTGAGGTTGAAGATGGCTTTCCCTGTGCTCGTCGACGACCCAAACAGTACCTCGTCGAGCCGAAGATCACGTGGACCGAACTCTATCGGCGATACAAGATCGAGGTAGAGGCCCAGGACTGCCATGTCGTGTCCTTCTCAAGATGGATTCAGTACGTCCACACGTACTATCCCGGTTTTAGCTTGACGCGCACAGCCGAAGACGTTTGCGACTGCTGCGTTCGAATCGATGTCCAGCTCGAACGCAAGGATCTCCCGGATGATGAACGTCAACGCCCACTGCTGGAGAAGAACATGCATCTCGACGCCGCCATTGGCCAGCGCAGAACGGTGTCAAAATTTGTCGCGGAGTACGTCAAACAACACGCTCCTGATCAGAAAGTCTCCGACACCGTCATTCCGGAACGCTTCGACGACAACGACGACGCAGCCGGCGTCCACCCGAGCGGACTGCCTGTCGGTGCAGGAATCGAACGGCCTTCCCACTATCCAAAGTCAGATTGAGGATTTTGGCGGTAGCTTCGCCAATGCCACTCTAGGGTCACATTCGCCCGTCCGCGGATTACTTCAGTTCCAGCCTGATGGTCCACAACTTCGTCCCAGCGGACATCACGAGCGGTGTCAACAACGTCATTTTCCACGACGGGCGCGCACAAGGAAAGGACGCGGACGCACTGTGCAGCCTCCGCTTCGTGTACCACGTGAAGCTGCTCACCATGAAGACGGCCCGCATGATGCCACGCACTTTGCTCGTTATTCTAGACAAATGTGTCGGCCAAAACAAGCCGCAGCTGGTGACGATGTTCTGTGCGATGCTGTCGCTATTGTTCTACAGCAAAGTCGTTCTGCTATACTTGATACCAGGGCACTCGCACAACCAGGCCGATCGGGTCCTCGCATGGTGTCGCAATGCGATGAAAGGTAAGAACTTTTACACCCCGATGGCCATCGTGCAGGCCGTCAACGATGTCAACAGCATTAAGGCGACATTCGGGAATCATCGCGATTCCAAACGCCCATTCTATACGGGCTGGGACGCGATTTAGAAGAAGCACTTCAAGCAGATGCCAACCCGCTACATTTCGATTTAAAGCTTTCGTGACTGCAATGATTCATCTTCTTTGGTTCTTTCGGTAAAGTCACGTAGAATGAGAATAAAATAATACATTGATAAAATAAAATAACAATAATATTCTCACGACGTTTCGGCCACAACACAAGCGGCCTTCATCAGGTGAAGGGACGAGACTGTCTGGTAGGACAGCGCTGGAGTGAAAAAGCCACGCTCAGATTACGACCTTTAAGCTGTGTGAGAAGAAACAAAGCGCCTTGACAAAGGAATTAGCAAATAATTTAGCATTGAAATGGCTTGTGACCAGTGATTAGCTCGTGACCAGTCACAAGCTAATCACTCAGCCATTTCAATGGTAAATTATATCAATCCGTTTGCCGACGGCTTCTGTCGTCAGCCTGATAACGAAGAAATTGCGCTCGCTCTCAAAGAAGTATTTTCCTATTCCTCCGGAATACCTGCCATAGTACCTGGCAGTCGCGAGCGAGATCAGCTCGCAGATTGACGACCCGATTCAGCGAGCAGTCCCCCACCCGCTCGAACAAACGCCAGCTTTGATTTAAAGCTTTCGTGACTGCAGTGATTCATATTCTTGGTTCTTTCGGTAAAGTCACGTTGAAGGGAAACAATAAAATAATAAAATATATATAAAACAATTAAATTCTCACGACGTTTCGACTATAACACAAACAGTCATCATCAGGTGTGAAAACCAACGGCAAGAAAAATGTGAAAACCAACGGCAAGAAAAATGTTTTTTGCCGTTTGTTTTCACACCTGATGACTGTTTGTGTTACAGTCGAAACGTCGTGAGAATTTTATTGTTTTATATATTATTATTTTATTGTTTCCCTTCAACGTGACTTTACCGAAAGAACCAAGAATATAAAAAAACGCCAGCTTGTTTCGATTGACGCGACGGTGGACCCGGACACCGCTGCAGCACCCAAGGCGAAACCTGGGCGTCCCAAGAAGAAAATGGGCGTCGCTCCGGGGCAGAAATCGATCCTGTCCTTCTTTGCCAAACATTAGCAGAAAAAAAATCCGTTATCGAAAAATTCAACTTTGAATAGTGCATCGCGTGCAGCTCGTCGAGATGAGTCGATTGCCGCATCGCCGACCATCAACAGACTAAAGATGACTGCATCACGGACATTATGCGAGAGCCGGGGTGCTATGGTACCCCGGGGTGCCGCCATAAGGTTCATTTACTCAATTTGGATTACTGCACAGCAAACATCGCCCGATACCGGGAAAACCTGGCAGGACCCTCCTGAGAACCAGTCGCGAGACGCAGCGAAGTTTTCCATGGATAAAACAAGCATAATCGTCATAATAATAATAATAATAACAACAGCACTACCACCCCAGTACTGAGAGACCGAGAGCGGGATTCTCGTCAGCCCCCTCTCAAAGACATTCCGTGCTGTTATCTGACCCTGGGAGATTCTTGCCCCATCTGAGAGAAATTATCCTCCGTTGGAGCGAGCGCGAGGGGTTGCAACAAGCGCGTCTGCGTCGCGCGGGGAGAAACGCAACGACTAATTTGCTGCTGCGGGTTTCCGGCTTGAGCTGTCTGCTCCATGTTGCACCCCACAATGTGTTCTCTTCACCCCCCCCCCCCCCCCCCCCCCCCCCCCATCATCACCCACCCCCCGCCAACCTTCCCCCCGACGCCCCAACTCTCACCAAGACGCGCGCGTAAAGACAAAGATTCCCCGTGTAGGCTAGGCACGGTGTCGCGGCACGTGCCGTTAGCGAGCGCCGAACGAAGGCACACGCGGTGCGCGGCCGACGCAAGTCGTGCGGTCAGCACCAACTTACCCGGCAGGTCGCCTTTTGTCGCCTCCAGTGCAGACGTTGAAACACCGTACCAGGTACTCATTTGAGGCCGAGCGCGAAATGAGCAATGGGGGTGAGCGGGCTGCCGAGCGAAATACCGTGGCTTCAAATCAAGGTTGGGCGGCGGAAGGGGTTGACTCAGTCCACTTATCCCTCTGGGGTCGACAAAATCGGTGGACCTTTGGTCGGGAGGCCAATGCCAATTGTAGCCGTGGATAAACTCGCCGCCGCCATAGGCATGCCGAATTTCCACCACTGGCTCGGGACTGTAAAACGGGAGGTGAGCCACTCTAGCGAGACTGAATGCCCGATGGGTCATTCGGCTGATCAAGGTCGAGTGTTGCGCTCCAGGATCGCCGGGCAGGGTCACTGCCCCAGATGAAGTTCAACGCAAAGTTTAGCTTCAAATTAAAGGGCCTGCTAGTCAGCGGCGTGGTGTGGGCACTGTGCAGTTACACCGCCTGCACATTCGATAGCTACGCTACTTCTACTCATTGATTATAGGAAGACAGCATCGAAACTAAACTATTAGTGTATGGATACGCGCCTAGGCTTGGGGTTATAAGCTTTCCACTGCGGTGCAATTTCATATCGCCTATGACCAAGTAATTCTCGTCAGATCTCGGAAGCTAAGAGGGGGTTGAGCCTGGATAGCGCTTGGATGGGTAACTGCCAAGCACAGCACAGGTTGCCACAGGCAGCTGTGGGGCTCCACGGTGGATAGCAATGCAAGGAATATCCATTGTTGTACCGTACCGCGATTCTATCCTGCCACATCTACGCCCCCCTGAATTTTAGCAACCCGCGCTGACCTGCGTGGTGAAGTATGGTCGAGCAACCCCCGCGTAACCGACACGGCGTGTGGGTTGGGGGGGGTGCCTTAATCCAGCGGCAGTGGATTGGTAAACGGCTGAAAGTTATCCCTCATTATGCACACACGCACCGCGCAGGAAAATACACGCAGCGGGAATGCGCCGGGCAAGGCTGTTGCATTGTAGGTGGATTTATGCACCGAGGAATTCTTCATTACTCGCGGGCTCTCAGAGGCTGCGGGATTACAGAAAAAAACGCAATGAGAAATCTTGATCTGCTCAAAAGACGTGCAACGTTTTCATTTCCATCGCCGCCGTGCGCTGCCGAGTGAACGTCTACGCTCGGAAGCCACCGAGTTATTTCCGAACAAAGTTGAGAGCAACTAAAACTGGGGGGGGGGGGGGGGGGGGGGGGGTGGGGGCTAGCCAAGATTAACCCTGGCGCTTTTTTGGTGCGAGAAAATCCTCAAGTGAATTTCACCGAATGCAACTTAACAGTATATATATTTTAAAAATTATATTCCCCTGCTGCACGTATGCATGACAAACAAACAAAAACACCTCCTGGTTGTCAAGCAAAGGTTCAAAACGTTAAGGTGGCCGCCAACAATCGGCAGCGTTGTTGAATATGTACAGGAATAGGTAGATGCGTTTCTTTAAACGAGCTGGGTTAGAATAACTCTCTGCAAGAGCATTGCCGGGAGGAGGGAACTTCCAAAGTCGGGCCCAGTGGGAGGGAAGGAGCAGAGAGAGAGAGGGAGAAGCGCAGTGACCTGCTGCGTGGTGAGTGCTTAAGCGGTTGAGCGAGTGGGCGAGTGTGTGGTTGTGACCTCCGGTGTGGTGGCCGAACACTGTGTGGTTGAGACGAAACAGCCAGGTCGAGCAGACCGATCGAGTCCTCAACATTGGTGGGGGGGGGAGAGTGGGGGAATCGACGAGTGAAGCTCATGAGAAAGGGTAACCAAGGTAGTAGCGGTAGAAGAGTGATAAGGAGGCAAATGAACATGGACAAGCCATTGACTGGAGTGCTTTAACACCTTCAAGCCGGACGCAAATATCATGCTTTAGGGGAGGTTTGCATCAATTGAACGACTTCTGCGTTCATATCTGCTTCGCTTTTTACAGACTCCTCCTGCGCATTCATAACTTGCACGACTCAAACACCATTGTTACGTGTATTTTTTTCTCGTTATTCACATATTAGATATTGTTTCATTTGCCAAGTAATGGAGGTTTTGTTTTTGTATCACCCGTGTAAGGGAACTGGCGAATTGACGTGCAGCGTTGTGGGATGCGATTGCACAAATGACGCTCGGTCAAATGAAATTATTTATTATTATTACTCCGCACGAGAGACACGTACCGGGCGAGCCGTTGAGCCGACCTCCTGTAAACCTGAGCCGATCCGACAATTTCCGTCACCAGAAACGTCACTGCACAACCGCCGTCACGCAGCACGACACCACGCGCCGTTTTGACACCGCGTGTTGGAAACTCCCAGGCCGCTTTGCGAGCCGAGTTCCATCGCACAATGCAATTGCTACTCCGCAAAACTCTCAGCGGGTCCAAACCTCAAACAACTTGCGTGGATCCGAAGCGATCATCTAATTCCAAAACTAATGTAAAACTATAATAAGTAAAAAAATTAAGGGAAGATTATATATTTTTGATATTGAATATGCTCCCAAATCCGTACTTTTCATAAATCCTCACTGGATGTGGTCCAAGTTACCTTCGATTTTTTTAAATATTGCTTTGTAAGAATAAAATGAAGCGCACTTAAGTTGGCCTTTGAAGTCCCCCCCCCCTTCAAATAATGGTAAGCTGTGATGCTTTTTTTCCCATCAAAGGATGGATGGTAAACTCTCCTCTAAGCGAGGAGATGGAGCTACGAAATCGGTTTGCGTGCGGGCGCTAGAGGGATCGTGAGAGATGGAAGTGGCAGAGGCCTTCATCCAGCAGTGGACTGATAATGGCTATTGATCGATGATAATCACGGTGGCAAGCTGAAATGTGTATGTCCCAAATCTCCCAGTGTAGAATATAACAGCATGTGTGCACTGCAAGTATACATGTGGAATACATACCGAGTTCATGTAAATTTTATTTGGTCGTGGTGCTGATAAGTGGCACACAAGCTAGCACATGTAATAAAAAGCTCACATTCGTCAATAAAACTGTGGCCATGAAAGAAGCAAATTATATAATCGCGCGACGTTTTGAGCAATGGGCCCTTTTCACGGCAAACTTATACAAATATAGATCTGTACTCGTGTGACATTGTATACGTACCTGGCCTGGGCTTTCTCTAACACAGCGGGGTTCTTAAGCTTTACTACAGCCTTGCAACCCTTTGGTTCTCAATCGTAAACAAATGTATTGTTAATAAATATATAGGCTTGATTAAACAAAGTAGTTGTACTTACGTGCCCGTGCTTAATTTGTGTTTCAATGATTTACCTTCTAACAAATCTGGGCACGTCTCACACCCCCAGAAAGGGCATCTCGCACCTCCAGGGGGTGCGTCCACCCCCAGGTCAAGAACCACTGCTCTAAGTCAACTCGGCATACAATGAGTACCTGGTGTATTGCAACTCGGCATACAATGAGTACCTCCAGGGGGTGCGTCCACCCCCAGGTCAAGAACCACTGCTGTAAGTCAACTCGGCATACAATGAGTACCTGGTGTATTGCATGATCATCGCAAACCAGTTGGGAACAAAAGCAGCTGGGAGGGAAAGTGCTGCCCACATCACCCCATTGAATTCCGTGCCGGCCTTAATAGGCCACACACCAACTGCACGAGCATCAACGGTCCTAAAAGGGCCAATGAAAATATATTTGCGTCTGTGATGGGAGCAGTTTCACATTTACAAGTGTATATTGTTTAACCAAGTGAGATTAGCAGGGTTGGCTATGTACGGCGCGAAAGAAGTTCAACATACGAGCATACAAACTCAAGAGACCGTGATGAGTCTCATTTGCAGGAGTGACCCAGGGGCATTTGTCTGCTGGTCAGGGACGATGACTGCTGTTGATGTGTGTGTGTTATAATCCTCACTGAGCAGTTTGCGAAGTCCTTTTCTAGTTTGGTTAAATTTGAAGCCCTCACCAACAGCATACAGTATGGCCTATTCTTGTGAATGACGTCAGGTGATCTTTCCTGTTCACTGTAAAACAGATGGCGCGTGGCACGTTTAAGTATTTATTTTTTTATTTTTACACCCGGCAGTAATAATCAGGGCGGCCAGGTAGATTTGAACCGCGAACTCTCCGCAACAAGCGATCCGAGATGAATTGCGGCATCGCAAAACCCTTTTAGGAATGGCTTAGGGAAGCCTTCATTTGGCAGTTGATAGAGAATGGCTGCTGGTGATCTTGGTGCTTGGTGTTGATGGTGACCGAGCACCTTCATATTTGAATATGTGGCTTCGCACTAACAACACGGTTAATCCTCACTTAGTAAGCTCTCTTTGGTCCTCGGCATTAATCACGGTCCTTATAAATAGCACTACCGACAGCAGCAGCCGACCCAATTAACACCTGGCAATTAGCACACGAAGTAAAATCACACTCCCGTTTGGGCACCCATCCGCTGCGGCGCGAGTCAACGTAACCTGTGCCGAGTTACGGGGAGGGGGCCGGAAACCGAGCAAGCAGTGATTAATTAGCGCCATCAACTTTGCAACAAGGCGCCTCGGTGTCCGTCCGCGGCTCGCGAGGTGCCCGTCCGCGGCTCGCGAGGTGCCCGTCCGCGGCTCGCGAGGTGTCACCGCCGCCGCCCTGCGGCCGGGCCGTGTTGGCGTCGTGACGGCGAGCCGCCCGCGCGGCAACGTTGAGAACGCGACGGGGTGGGAGCGTGGACCAGGGCACCGAGCCACTGCCGGCACTGCCTCAGAAAGCTGGGTTTGAATCCAGGGCAAGCCGCATATGAGCCTTAAATGGGGGGAGGGGAGGAGTTCGGGTTGGGGGGGGGGAGGGTTGTTCTCCGTTGTAATGAATTGGTCGATCTCAGCTTCGACGCCACAGGCTACACAAAAAGCACGCATCGTATTAAAGGCACCATTTTTTGGTGATTTGAGGGCACTTTCGTCATGGCTTGCTGAATCTGGGATTTGTGCCCAGCATTTCAGCACTGATGGCTCCGGTACCCTGGGATGAATTTAATCCGCGTGAGCCACCCCATCCACTTAATGGAAAATCAAGTTACGAAAAAATCATGCACATGCGTGGATTCTGTAACGCTTTCCAAAACGTGCTTGTCCTTGGAAGTATTTAATGAGCGACACAGCAGCCGACCGTGCAAATGCACTTGCACATTTTCAAACGGTCCTTTTTTTTGTTCCGATTCGGGTCTCCAAGCTTTGGGTAGCCCACGGATCAATTCGGCCGGTGTTCTGCGCACCGAGTCCCAACTTTGTAACGCACCCTGCCCCCGCCATTATGGTTGGACAGACTTACGGTACAGTGCAGAGACAGAGCTTTTGCATAAGTGCTTCAACCTTACATCCGAAAATCTTTCATTAAAAAAATATATATCTCGAGGACTCAGTCTGACTTCTGTGGGGGGAGTAAAGAGTTTAAAACTCTTTTTTGCGTTCCCTTTACGGCCGGCGTCCCGTTGGCTCCGTGCCCCGGCGCATCTGACCTCCACTACCCGTGGCAGGAAACAGGTCAAACAATAGACTCATCCTGGCAGCGCAGGGCAGATCTGGGTTAAAGCAATAGCAGCGGCTTCACACTCCGTATCGCAACGGCATCAGGAAACCCTTTAGCAGTGTGGGGAAGTCATCGTCTGTACGTTGGGATATGTTGTCCTGCCTCTCTCTCTCTCTCGCCGGTTCTTTTGTCCAAGGGGCAGCTCCACGGTTCAAGCTCCTTATATTGAGAGCGACCTTTCAGCTGGGTTTGTCCGAGCTAGTGACATGGAAATGCTCCCACAATAATGAGTAAATATTTCGTACAATATTCAATTTTGGGCAAGCGGTAGGGTGCAGAACCGGTTCAGATACCACTCGCCGCTGATGTTACATGTGGCAGGGAATGCAACTTTGGTTTGCCAAGTTTAATTGTGCAGTGTGCTAACCACTGCACCACCACTCTGCAGAAAACGTAACATAAACAGTCCTATTCTTAGCTCTTTCGGTAAAGTCACGTTAAAGGGAAACAATAAAATAATAAAATATATAAAACAATAAAAATTATCACGACGTTTCGACCATCATCAGGTGCTTAGCAATCATTGGAAGGATTTGATAAACCATTTCAGGTCTTAATTGATTGTTCACGCTTACGGTGGCTTTCAG